CAAACGCACGTGCCCTCGTCGAGTTCCCAATGGACTACTGATGCTCTTTAACTTACATGCGTCCAGCGCTTAACTGGCATAAGGGGCTCCAATGCCTTTATAGCCTACTCGTCTGTAGCGGAGCACTCAGTCACGTGAACTGCATACAACTGTGCTTCGTGCTTTCGACAAGCATATAAGGCGCCCAGTCGGCATCTGGGAATGCGGTGTTCAATTTGTGTGCATATCATGGAAGAAATTTTGGCTATCTCTTATGTGGGTGTGGGTCACGCGTGTATTTCCACTTGATGCCTTGGTGGGTTTTCATGAGCGGAGATACCTCTGATCGATGGAGTAACTATTTGGAGTCTCTCGCAAATTCAGTGGCTCAACAATGTAGTGGTGTCTTATTGCCACTCATGACTGACGAATGTCTCTGCGAGCCTTCAAAGCGCGTGGCCAAGACGCGCCTACTTTGATCTATCCACGGATGCACACTATGGGTTTCCGTATTTTATTCGCCATGGTGCAAGGCAGCCCTCCGTGCAGGAACACTGCTGCACACAGGAAGTCCGTTGCATCCGATTCTTTGAGAGGAGCTAGTTTTTCTGGTAGCATGACTATTCGTTAAACGCTGCAGGGAGCACCTCTACGTGGGCTTCGCTGAAGTGGAGCATAGGAGCAAGCGTGACTTTGATATTCTGCAAGTGGCATTCTGCCAGACGTAAGCTGTTTGTGGAAGCCCAAGAGGAAATTAGGTAACCCGTTTGAATCCGCTGCCGTGAAGTGCATAAAATGTGAGTCTATTGTGGAATGCCGGCTGTTGAACGAAACTGGTAAGCATATTTGAAGAATTTGCGGCCGGAACGCGGTGAAAGTTACCCGCCCCTTCTTATATCCTTCGCGCTGTACGTACTTGGCATTGCTTGCTGTCACCGCGTTGGGGTGCTCTTTGTGCAGATAGTGCGCTGGTTTTGGTTCTCTTGCTTCGGCGCAAAGCATGTCGCGGACCATTGGATAAAGTCTGTGTAGGCGTAAAGTGGTTATTTTTATGAAGAACATTCTAAGGCTTATCACCAAATATGCGTTTCTGGGTGGCCAGCATTGCTGCCGACAATGCGTGTTTCGAATATGAAGGTATATATCTTTCCAGGTGCAGTTCCTAGCAGGCGGATGACCATAAAACTAGAGATGCGTATGCTGCATGTATTTTGAATAGCGTGTAATTGAGTCGGTATCTCGTTCTTTGCATGTAAGTGCAATCACTTCTTAGCTGTTAGAATTGATGGGTATGGCACTCCACGCAGAAAGTACGCTGTCCCTAGCGAGTGAATTGATCGGGTTCGTCATACCGACTAGCTGGTGTCTGAGCCTGTAGCTAGCCTGTGGTGAGCTTTTGGAACGTTGGGCGCGACGTTCCGACACTTCACCTTTGCGGCTGTAGCGTTCTTTCAGGCAAGGTCTTATGACAGTGGTCTGCGACGCAGCCTGGAAGAGAGCGGCTACACAGGAAACCAACTTTGCAGGCAGTTTCAGTGAGCGATAGTGATGGAAATGCGGATGAGCAAGCCACTTCATGCACCACCTGCACCTCCTTGGATGAAATGAGTGGTTAGTCTGGTTCCCGGCGTCCATGGAGTACAATGCCTGCACAAAAATAAAGGGTATTGCCCATCAGTTGTCGGGAGAGTGATGCATTCAGTTCGTGAGTCAGTTGCCAGTGGACGCTCATTGAGCAACGCCTGTAAGAATAGAAGGGATGATTGAACAGCTGCTGAAGCAGTAACCGACCCGCGCACGTGAAAGAAATACTTTGGCGAGTACCAGCTGTCTCTGGATGCTTTCGAACACAAGCAAAGCAGCTTCCGATCTGTAAGCTGCTATATCAGTGAGCCCATCCAGGGAAATGTGTGTGCTGGCACTTCCGGTGAGGCGCAAGTAATGATAATAAATTGTCAAGCTTTGATTCTGTCCTGTTAGGAAAAGGTATATTGGACGGCACTTAAGAGAAACTTATGGCCCTTCTTTGGATTGCTGACTTTTGTGGTCCTCGGATGCATGTGCGTCCGGCCCTCCAGGTCCGTGCATCCGCTCGCACCCGTCAACCTTGGGAATTCTTAGCTCTATTTTTTGGCAATTATTTCACTATTGAACGCTTGCGACGTCTTGCACCTTTTGCGCCTTGTTCAACTTTAGCCAACACATTCCAAGTAGGCTTCCAACGGTCTGGAAGAGGAATTACGCGCACTTGGCGCACTGGTCCTTACACAAATTACTGAGCCCGTAGCCTGTGCAAAATGCCCGCATCCTACCAGTTGGTACGTTGTGTCGAACAAGCTGCTTGCACGGACTCGCTGCGCAGACACTTGACAAATGGGGAACATTTTACGGCCGTATTATATGTTCGGCCGAGCTAGTGGACAATTTCGGTCGTTGAAAAAACTAAGCATTGCGCGGAACATCCAGAAAAGTATTTTGTCAGATTCGCAGGGTTCCAAATTTCGTCTTTTGCCCAGGCTCTCTTGTCGTTTGGCTGCGCATACGTCCGCATTCATACTTGTGTTTGTCCTACCGGCAAAAGTGCTGGTTGAGCTGTGCTACAATTTGCAAATCCTTAGAATACATTGAAAGAGCATGGTTAATATAGTTTCTTCCAGGTGCCAGCAAACGGTCTCGCCTCAAAACTTTTATCTTGTTTTGCTTATTGTCAACGTCGCTTGTCGCATTAGACCGCCCTTTAGTGTCGTGAAATGTGAAACCTCGCGTTTCAGATTGCACTGGGATCGACACAAGGATGCTCTCTGGCCAGCTGCTAGATGCTGATACTCCTGAATCCATGGTAGATTTTCCCACACATTTACAGGCTCAAATAGACTAGAAGGGGATAGGCTTTCGCGTTTTTACAGAGAGTACGCATGCTGCGGAAGCAGTTCTGCATGGCATGTGAGGACGAGGAGATGCGGACTAACATGGCACTCGGACGTTTCACATCGATCGAATGTGTCCATTACCCATGCTGAGCATTTTCTGGTGGCTATTGTAATACAGTAAAGGAAGTGTCTACGTATTTACCCCTATGCTCGTCAGATACCGTACGCTCAATTCATTTTTGCTCGCATCCTCTTGAGTCGCGCTTGGTCATAGTAGGTGGAGGTTAAAAAGCGCATGCGCTGTTGAGTACAAGTGTTGACGTTCTGGGTTGTCTTTTGGGCTTGATACGCTGGGAGGCAGTCCACAGCACAGTATTCCCTTCTTTTTAGTAAAGGTGTAATGTAGTGTGGACTGCCTCCCAGAATGACAAAGGCACATGTGATGGCTTAAGTCTTGTCCCTTCGTGTAGACTAGCCTATCAAATTCCTTGGACCAGGTAGTGTTAAGATTGTTTTGTGTAGACCAGTTTCATCTCGTTTTTTGTGCTCCTTCAACTTCCCCCAGTAACGGCAATGCATCGTGGATACAGTGCATAGTACGCTCAGCTGCTAAACTGCACCGCGCGGATAACGTATCTGCCTCACGTTGGCACCGAACTAAAACTCAACTTATCTACCTTTGGGGTATGCGAGGTGGCAAGATTACAGGGCATCTTTATCTCATCAGGAAGTCTGTTAATGGCCGCCCGTCATCTCTTCACCAGAAGGGCGGGGTGAGAATATACCTGTTATAATAGTTGTGCCACACGTAATGCTCCGTTTCGCAGGATGCATTTAAAGACAAGTGTTCAAGAACCCTCCTTCCGTTCCCTGGCCTTCACTGGTATGGGCTGAGCGTTGAATGCAACTGAGTCTATAAAACAGCGGCCTCCCTCCTGCCTCCATTTATATCAGTCATTGGTGTGTTAGCATTCCACGCAGAGAGTTCGTTGGGTCGCATCTTTCGACTGCTCTCCATGGATACCATAGAAGGCGTTCTAGCAAAGTGTTGTTTGCACGAGATACGCATAGGCGATATGCTGCTGCACACATCATTATTGTGGACGCCTGTATAGAAATAGCATCAAATTCCAAGTCAATTAGTGGAGATTATCAGCTGCTCGATCTGACTATTAAACGCATGCGAAACAAAAAGTCTCCATTTTAGTCGTAGACTACCCCAAAGTGCCTGAGTAGTTAATCGTTCAAAACTGTTAAAGTTACCTCCGGGAAACATACCTCAGGCGCAGCCCGTTCGTTACACTTGCTTCGGCATTTTGGACAGCGAACAGAAGTTTCGTCACCAAAGAAACTCTCCTTGCAGGGGAATCGTGTAGTGTTTTCTAAAACAATCCAATATATGCAATGCCAGAGCAATCATTCAGGTTCCCGAAGCAGACTAAGACTGAATGTTGGCGCCGTTTGTGGCTGTCCCCCGATCAGGCCTACCCCACCCTTCTTCAAGTGCTGCCTTGGCTGTTCTACGCCGATTTCTGCTCTGTAGTGAAGCTTTTTTGAAGATGTGTGTGCTCGTCTTTATGGAACTGTTGATGATCCAGCAGCAGCTTCTGCTGTCTTTGCATCTCTTCTCATCCACAATGGGCATCTGGTGCCAAGAAAGCATGGGGAGTGCAGAGATAGATTAAAAACTGTTTTCTGTGAGGTTCTTGCTGTTCTCTAGAGATTCTTCCAGAGAGTAGTGGCAACATCGGTCGTGATGGGCAGTATTCTCGTACTGCAGACAGTGCGCGGCTGTTGTAATGCCATGCATGACATCCAAGAAAGCACATGAGACGCGATTCCTTTGAAAGGATTCAATCTGAGTAGGGTAGCTGCAGAAGCTGTTCTGAATCTCAGTCGTGCAGATGTCTCGCTGCCCGTATGACGCTTACATCTTTGTTTTTGCCGCCCTGGGGAAACGTTGCAGTTTGCTTGTCGGCGCCCTCCTTAACTGGGCAAACACTATAGTTCTTTCCGTCGATGGACGTAATGGGGACCGGGAAACGACGCTGACTCGTGCTTTTCGAAACTTCTATTTTCGGCTGGAGATGCCACTAGAGCATAGGCTCTAAAGCAGACTTGCTGCGTGCTGCATGTGACGATGGGTGACGCCCAGAGTGAATTGCATGACTTCTTGCAGTCTGTGCGCATGTTTCTTCACTTCCCTAGCTTAGGCTGTTTTCGTTTCCCTAAAAACGCTGTGTTTAGTTTCTCCGCTATTTTGAGTACTTGCTTAGTGAACCCCTCGCCTTCGTATTCCTGAACTGTAAGCAGAGACAGTTTGGCACTGAAACGCTCCAATGCGACCAGGTACACAATTTGACTTTCGGCGAAACAAAACATGCATGCATTGCTCCGAATGCTTCCTGCCTTTTGAGTTGCTGTTGAACTTGTTGCTTCGTGGTCTCTTTCGGCTAAAGTCAGAATGCGTGCCTCGTTGAATATGGAGCCATGCAGTGCCAAGCTGCGTCTGTGTAGCATAGCCAGACTATAAATTGAGGCCCTTTGACCCGGCGATTTTTAGCCAGGTAGGTGAGCTCACACCAATCGATGCAAACTGGTATGTAGCGCTTTGAACATTATACTGCACTTTGTCTGAAGGGTTGTTAATGGCATGTTATTACCTCTAGCTGGGTGGCATGTAAAATAGCAGTTGTTACCATGCATCATTTCTACTTCTGTAGGCAGTGCGTCGGTAGCCCATAATAACTGTACAGCTGCTTTACGAGCTTGTGTCCAAGAATGGATATCATGTTTGCTCGGTCATTGACCTACGTATGCTCGCACAGTGGTACGTGCGTTCACTAGCGAACTGCACCAGGCTATTTGGGACGGACACAACCTGCATTCGTGATCCATGTGCACCGCAACAGCGGTCTGTTGCCAGGTAGGCTTTTTCGCATGACTGGATGCCCTCCGGCAGTTAGCAAAAAGGCGTGGACGCCCTTGCATTTCGCGTATGTGAGTATCAGTGCACTGGGTGGTTTGGCTCGAATGCGTATAGACTTTTTGCTTCTTGATGGGGTCGTTTGCGTTGTCATCTGGAAGTAAGACGGAGGGGCGGATACATTGTGGTACGTTTGAGCACCGGCTTTGTTAGAAGTGCTTATCAGCGGCTTGCCTGCCTATCTGCTTTGAAGTTATCCGGGTTAGCGTACCTGCGAATTCGTGTAGTTGGTAGCTATTACTTTCCAGCGCGTCGGCTCAATGCAATTTTTGTTAAAAACAGGAGTAATTTTCATATCTGGAATAATTCCAGAACTAGAATAAGGTAAATCATTTGGTGATAAAATATATGCATTTTTTAAATTGAAAAAAGACCTTTGTACACCTCCGTTGCTTTTTAGGAGGAAAATGTTCCTGGTTGCTCGCTGTCCGAAGTCTGTTGAGCACTGAAGACTCTATACAGCACATGTGAGCTCTCTGGCGATCAGCTTCAATCATTCCAGGGGCTTCCTGCACAACTAGGCATACCACGAGGGGTAATGAGCATGCCTCCAAGCTCGTGCGCTACAATTTTCAGGACGAAGGAATATATTCACAGGCAGCGATGAGCCGAGACTAACTTAGACGACTGTAGCCACAAAACAGCGCTACAATATCTAGCCTCAGCCCGCATTAGAACGTTGCCGTCATGTTGTTGCACATAATGCAGCTCACGCACTTCGCTCGCAACAGGACAGCAGAGTCAGTGTAGCCTGCGGCCAGTCTCCAAGTGATTCCGTAGGTTTTGCGCCTAGCCGTTCTGTTGAACGCAGCTAGTCGACTGAAAAGGGGGCTTGTTTGCGCCGAGAAGTGGGTTTGGGACAATCGTTCGGGATTTGTGCAAGCATACTTCTGTTTTAGCCGCCTCGAGACCGTCTGCTAGTACGCGCTCTGTTTTGCATCCGTGCATTTGCTATATTCTTCAACAAACAGCACTGCGATACAATGTAACAGGAACTTCGTGTGGGGACAGTGCTGCTCGTGGCGGTATCCTCCGCGGATTTCCTTGCGGTGACGTTGTAAGGCAAGCGTTTTATCCCAGTACACTTGCATATACGCATCCGGGTGATCGCGTGAAGGTACTGACGTTTTGGAGTTGGCAGAAGCCGTTGCATTGCTGTCCTGCTGCAGGAGGTATGCTGAAGGGTATATTCTGCTAAGCTGCTGTTCCACTTGATGAGTGTGCGCAAAGACAGGCATCGCAAGTGGAGTATCCCCCTTGTTCCTATTGCTGCTGGCTTTACATTGAGCACGACGTAGTGAGGCTGCTTGGGGATCAGGAAGCAAGTTGGAATTCAACTGCCACGGCGGGGCATTTTAAAGCAGGACTCAGTGCACAAGAAGCAGCAGCAAAGAGTTTGCTACCAGCGTGCACAGTAAAAAGGATTGATGAGATGGCTATTCTGTTCAAGGATGCATGCATTGATCTGGCCACGATTGCTGACATATGCTGGGATTGTTCTAGGGTTGAACTTTCATTCCAGTAGCTAAGCGAATTATCTATATATATATATGTATATATATATGTATAGAGACAGAAAGAAAGAGAGAGAGAGCGAACAACTGTTTCAACAATTATTGAGTCGGCATTCGCCAGAGGTTCATGCCATTCGACAGCTCCTCCGTGCAGGCCACAACGTAACACCCAGTTGACCCCCTGGATTGTATTGTTCGCCTTTTTATTGTAAATGAGCGTATTTCCCTAGCCCCGTTGAACAATATAAGCCCCGTGGTGACGGACTATGCTACTCGAGAGGTTGTGCATGATGACAAAATACGGCCATTATCGTGGCTCACTTCACGAGCACGTTTCGAGTCCACTTCAGGAAGGGAAGGCAAGACGATGCAGTCCGTTAGTCAGGAGCTAAAATCTGACAATAGTTAGCGAATAGCTACTCGCATGGTGCAGAGAGTGCGCGAGAGTGTAGATGATGTGTTATAGCTCGTGCATGAAGTGCACGTAGACGCGTTGAACTCAAGGCGGGAAGGTCCTTGGCAGCTCGGCAAACTCTGCTGCGCATATATATATATATATATATATATATATATATATATCTTATTCTAAGGTTTCGCTTTGCA